ACAATGACTAGCGGATACAATACAATCACTGCCACTTATGGAAAATCATTAAGGACTTCGCATAAACTATTTTGCTCAATACTCACAAATGTCATATGAACTTTTTTCTATATTTTATAAATGAGGAGACATGTTTCTAGAAGTTAATTCATTTGGCAAAGATCTGAAAGCCATTAAGTGGCAAAGGCAGTGTTTGAATTCATGTCTCCCGGACTGTGAAACTCACTGTCATTACATTAATCCCTGCCTCTCCTCAAGTGTCAGGATTCAGCTCCACAACATAAACACACAGGATTTTCCATTTTCTATTTAGAAACTGTAAGAAAAATATCATCATCATTACCATCATTTATTAGCAGCAGCATCTACATTACCAACAACCTCAAACACATCTACTTCACAAAGAACTGAACAGAAATGAAACGAAGTGTTTCTCCAGCAGCCTACCTAGTACATAATAATGTTAATGCACATACAATTAGTGTATGTAATCCAAACTAAACCTAACAGCATGGAAATAACATTCCTTTGAAGAATAAAGACTAGTTGTAATACTCCACCAAATGCTTATACTCTAACAGAAAGTATTTTACACAACACAAAACACTATAAATGTTTTAATTTCCAATTTTATTTGGAACAAGGTCTCACCATATGGTCCAGGCTGACTTGAACTCACTCTGTAGCCTAGACTAGACTCAAACTCACAGTGATCCTCCTGCCTCAGCCTCTCCAGTGCTGGGGTTAAAGATGCGCTAGATGCTTTCATTTTGATGTTACATGTAGTATTGATAGGTCCTTGCTTGCTTCTCAAATCAAGACTAACATTATTCAGATCTCTAGTTCACTAGACCTGTTTTATACCAATAAATGTTTACAGAATTTATTAAAAACTTTACCTAGCTTATAATTTATCTACAAAACAGGAGATTTTGTTCAGATCATTCATTATCTCCCATACCTAAACTAATACCTACCATATACTATATTTGTTGATAAAATGCAAACCACGTTGCAAGAAAAAATTAAGCTGAAAAGAATCACAAAATCTTTCTACACCATTGGAAATAAACTGAGAAAAACTCAATTGCTTAAGACCACAGAAGTAGTAACCAGCATGAATGTAAAAGGTAGCTATTTTATTAAAAATTGATTATTTTTGTTTTATAACATAGTGTTAAAGAAATACTGAAGTAAATCAGTACTTTTATTCTCATTTGTCCAGCATATACGTAATTTGCTTACTACAGGCAAAATGTAACTATGAGCTTTTAATTCTCTTCATTGTAAATAGGATGCAGACCCTCATGTGACCCACCACCGTGTCTGCATTCAGAAATTTCAGGGAAGAAATGTGTTCTAGGCGAGGAGAAAGGATACCAAGACAGAGGAAACAGATTTAGCACAAATGACGAGAATGTTATTTATGTTATGTCTTAAACAATGAATTTGTAAAATCATAATATTGCCAAATTTCAAGTGACACTCTGGACTGAATACACGACATTTTTTTCAAAGTGCTATTTTCAATGTACCAAAATGCAGCACTTTAAAGTATGTTACTGGGTACAATCATGTACACATTTTATGTTCTTATTTATTTACTATTAAAGTTAAAGGAATTTAAGAAAAAAATCCTATAACAGTCTAAAACTGTTGACCTCTACTGTATACATTTTAAAGTAGAAGTATTCTTCAGTTTTCCAGTGTTTTTCAGTGATATAATAATTACAGCTGAATTGATACATGCATCATGAAGTGATACATTAAGGAGATAATAAATTCTTAAAGATCCTTAAGACTCCCAAATTCAGAAAATCTGGACTCTAAATTAAGGAGCTAATTCCCATCAGGAGGAAGTACATTGTCTGCCTGGATTAAAATGCACCTCCTGTTGTCAGTTATTATTTACAACTATGGCTGTTGTTATTTCAGATTAATGAAAACTATTGAAAGAAAAGTATGCGAAACACTCTAATAAGCATTAATTACCATTCACAAACAAACGTATTATATGTTGTATATAGATTTCTGCTAGGTACAGTGATTAGCCACACTGAGCAAACTTCAGGGGAACATTTTCTAAATCATCTCTGTTTTTTATGTATTTCTGTGTATGTTTTTGCTTTTCTGCCAAACTGTTAATTCCTTATTTCTGTTCTGCCTCCAACAGTTTCTAGTTTCCAGCCTTTCTGTAGTTAATACTTTTTCTCTAATTAGGAACAGTAACCAAATTCAACGTAATACTGCATTGAGCTGAGATTCTATTTCAGTGACTATTCCTCCCTTTATAAATTGCTATGTTGAAGCCACATAATAAAAAGCATTTCCTTCAGGCTGAAACATGGAAGACAGGATCTTGAGATAATTTTTTTCTCAAGAAAATCAGAAAAATCTACCACATATTTTCAAGTTGAAAGAGAACCATTTTCTCTGGTATTAACTAGTATCTACAGTGAGGAGCTGACCATACCTAACTTTAGATTTTTTGCCAACCAAATATTAAATGACTTAACAATACAGACTAGACTATGGACTTCACAGTATTTCTTTTTTATTATTCTTCATAAAGTTTCATTGTTAAATAAATTGAACACGTTTATCTGTGTGCCCTTTGGTATCACCAATAACATGATTTATAGAGAGGTCACAGGTAAAATTAGTACAAGATTCTTATGACTTTAGGAAAGAAATTCTGTAATGCTTCACTGGAGTGAAAAAAAAAACCTATTAAATGTAGAATTTTATATACCATTTCCTTTCCTGTTTTTACTGCCAGTTTGTCTCATTTTTAAACCCTGATACCTAAAACTGTGAGGCACAATAACACAACAGCAAAATAATCCTAGGAAAAAAGAGATCACTAGTCAGCATATATTATGCCCTTTTAAGATTTAATTAATGCCAGATCCTATTCCTAATGTTTCATAAAATGCTGAAGAAGAAAAGAGAGAGATAAAGCAACCAACAGCCCAGTAGGACAGAAGCAGAAAATAGAAGCAGTTAAAAACAAAAAGGAATGAAAAATAAAAGAATGAGATGCCCATGTGTTTCTCACAGTCAAGTGCAATAAACATTACCAAGAGCGCTGACAGTCTATCTGAAGAGAGTTTGTAATTTGTTAACCTGCATTCCTAAAGACATCCAGTCACTTTAAAATTACATAAAATATATACCAACTCAAGTGCTTTTTATTTTATTTCACTGGTTGCCAGTACAATTCGTCTCCCCTCTGAACTAAACTGGAGATTTGAACAATGCAACCAAATCTTCGACTTCTTTGGTATTAATCTATTAATCCTTCAAACATTTAAATATACTCATTGGACGAGATGGTCTATGGTCCAGATTAAAATCTTGTTCCTAGAAGTCACATTTGACTCATCAGACTTCACCACTAGTGAGTAAATACTTTGGTGTATACTCAGGGTCCTCATGTGAGTAACACAGACAATACCACCTAGCACACGGTGGTTGTGAGAGTTAAACAAGGTCACGTATGTAACCTGCTTAAAATTGTGCCTGGAAAAAGAGTCAGGGTAACCGCAGTGTCCACAGTGACAGAAAGCCTCGGTCCTGGACCTCACAGAGCTTGGAGCCCCGAGGGAAAACATCCCCTGGGCATTTTGTGGAAAACTCGACTGAGACTCAAAAATATACAGAGTGAACAAAATTCAACTAGTCCTATGATAACAAGTAACCAGAAGTATACTAATTTTAATAGTATAAAACAAGCTAACTGCTTAAGATAAAACTGAAATGGTAGCAAGGTATTTCTTACACATGGCATGGGACATATATTCAAATGGCTTTCATTACATTTGTCTTCTAGAAAAGGCTTAGCTGTAATACTCCTGGATAGGTCTCACCAGAAGGAACTGTTGCTGTGACCATAGACCAGTTTTGTAACTCAAATGGGCGTTTTTCCTAATATTTAAAATGAGGGAGCTGAACAAGTGCTAAGGTTTTTTTAACATACAATTGCAGTGATCAATTTGATGAATTTAGAGAAGTTAAGTTCTCAAAATAGGCTTTTAAGGATCAAAAAAAGATATAAAACACAAAGAAGGATCAAATTAAAGGACTGATTTACATTCATACAGTATGAATTTGCAGTTGAAGGAGTGAATATCCTTCTGTGTGGGGTTGGCATGATCTAGTGACTGATCTATCAAGGCATTAATCCAGCGTATATATTTCCTATGTGAATTCATAGCAGACTCTGATGATGCATACTAGTAAGGAATAAAGAAGGAAATAATGAATAGCTTATCTTTATAATTTTAATGTTCTTTATCATATAACAAAACTACAGTTCTAAACATCATTAGTCAGTAACAGAAAAAAGTAATATGACATGTATTAGAAAGTTAAAACACACTTACATATATTATAAAGAACATAAAATATATATTATCCTAACTAAAAGGAAAAATAAGATTATGAAAACTTTCTGGAACGAGGCAAGAAAGAGCCCATTCTGAAGACAGTGTCATTTATGCAAAAATTTATAAAATTACATCCGTAAGTCATAAAGGACTAAAAATACCCTTGATGCAAAGTACAGCACCAAATTTGAAAAAACATAGGAACAACAAGACATGTATAAATAAAATGAGGCCTCAAAGACCACCTTTAACACCAGGTTTTTGCATGGCTCATGAAAAGGTAGTCACAAGATAGAGACAGCTTGCATACTACAATGTAGAGAAAAATTGAAATATTTTTTATCATTAAGTAATACTCTTTCATTATATCAAAAACTCTAAAAGGCAGACACTATGCAATATTTTCAAGAGAAAGACTCTGAAAGAAAATAACCACAAAATAAATCATTTGGTAAAAGTCAAAATGTGACAAACATGGAAAAAAGCCATCTAGAAATTAAAATTTCATTTTTGACTATTATATTAGGTACAATGCAGCCTATGTTCAGGCTCTGAACAATACACAGACCACATCTACTGCTCAGGATCAGCAGCCTGTGTAGTTTACCATACCTGTGGGTAGCTGTCAGTCCTTGGTAAAACTGATATATCGTAGGTGGCTGCAAAGTGGCTTTTAGCTTGTTGTATTTGGCCATAACGTTCTCTTTTTCTCCACTTGGCCCTTCGATTTTGAAACCACACCTAATTTTTTTAAAAAAAGAGAATTTAAACTAAGGAATGTTTGATTAAGCAAACAGTATTAAAACTTCAAACCAGATCAATAAAATGACATAAAATTATTAATCTCTTTATGTCAGAAAAGGATCTCTTGTACCCTAATATGATAAATATTAAGTCCATGAATGATGGAATTTAACAGAAAGAGCTGAGAAGCATTCCACAAATTTATTAGACATGTCAGTGGCTCTGCTTTCTCATTAGTAGATAACGAGTATTAAATTATATAATCTTAAATACTATTTACATCCTCACATTGTAATGAATAATTTTCCTCCAAGAGAATGCTACAAGTCTCAGAAATGACTGTAACGCTTTAGTTTTGGGATTATGCCATAACAGGAAACCAGCCAATCTATGATCAAATTAATACCTGAGTCTATTAAAGAATTATCTTTAAAACATGTCACCAAGTGAAAACTTCGCTAGGTTGTGCTTACACTTAGATAATCTTCTAAAAATTAAGCATAAGGGTATCTGAAACATATTACAGCGGTGGAAACATTTTAATTATTCATAAGAAGAAAAAATAAATATTACATGGTACATGGCAAGGATCATACGAGCTGTGGTTTTAAAACACGTAAATATACTTGTTACATAAACAATATCATTTGCTTTGTCTTGCAGAAAATGGTCAGATATTGTAATTTCTCTAATTTAAAACATTCACAGGTAATATAAATAATACAGTAATTAGGGGAAACAGAATAAAATGCTAAGAATGCCTGTCAGTTAGTATGGACTCTTACAGATCACTAAATTTTTTCTACAATTTCTCTAAATATGTATGAGAAACATTTATCCTAAGAACCATCTTCTCAAAGGATTCATTAATTTATTTTTTTAAGAGTAGGAACTTTTATTGAGGGGAGACAGCTCCTGATAGAGACAAGAGGTGACACAGGAAATGGGTTGCCAAGGATTCATTAACTTAAACTTCTATTACTCCAAAAATTTCACTTTTATATTGTAACATATTGAAGTGAGATAAAGAAAATTAAATCCTATATAGAAACATGGATACATGGAATACGTATTATATAAGCAGCTTTTGTCTTCTTTATACAGCTAAGTGAAATAAATTTAGGAAAAAAAATAGAAACCAACTATGAAAATGCAAGTTGTAAGGAGACTTTCACTGAAGTTTACTTAAAATTTTGCAGTTTTTAATATTCAACTATAGTATTCTCTATATCTTTATACATTTTTAAATTTGTTTACTGAATAATGTTCAGTTTGATTTTTCAATCTACATTGCAAATTTAAAATGCCACTTACGGAGTTTTCATCAATTTAAGCAAGACAAAAGCTAGGTACCTGTTATAGTATGTTTTCACAGAACACTGCTGGTAATATAAATTATCATTATACCCAAAGCTTGAGACAAAAACTGTTTTGTCTTTGTTTTCATTTTGTGCTATCTCTACAGATAGGTACAAAGAACTTACTAAGGGGTTTACTAATGAGGTTTTTGGGGCATTTTCTTGCCTCCACTGACAAAAAGACCCTGACCATCTCCTTAAGTGGGTGCCAATTACCACTCTCCTGAGAAGCAGGAAGGAGAACCACCTGGGTAAATTAGGTTCAGGTTGGCTTTCAGTACGGGTTTTCAGACAAAAATAATCAGGACTTTAAGGGGAAAACTTGCATTGTACACTGCTGATCACTCCACATGTAAACATATTTTTCTGTGGTTACAAGTATAACTAATTTAAATATATGGACACAAAACACACATGCAGGACTGATGTTAGTATATGACAATTTTAAAATTCTTTGTTAGCACAAACTTTCTATATATTTACTTCCTGAACTCAGATAAAATAACCATTTGTGTCCACAAACTCAAGCAAAAATCTGCTGCTTGTTATCCCTGCACCACCAGATGTCTTTAACGATGTACCGGACTTACAATGTCTTAATTTTAAGGAACAATACTTACTTCATTTAGAACAAAATTTTTCACTACCTACTCATTTGCCCATACCGATGGTGTATGAAAATAACAAAATGCAGTATTTTCCTAAAGTAGGAAGACTACACAAAAATAAATTCCATTCTCCTGAAATATTGTTTAATTTGAAATTCATTAATTGGAGACTAAAAAATATAATTTAAGTGTATCAAATCTAGCCAAAATATTACACTCCTAAGAGAAATAATTTTGTTTAGTATAATTTTTCTTTCTCAAATTATTTTTAAATAAAATTTAAACACATTAATCAGTTTATAATTTAAATATTGTATATAATAATTGAGTAGTACATACAGAAATTTCTTGAAGTGCATTCTACGTAAAAGGTATATAATTATTTAGATTTTTAAAAAGTGGAGTAGAATGTGTTGACAACTGCTGGCATTATAAAATTATAAATGATTTATTTGATGTTTAATTATATTAATAAAAATATTGTATGGCACACATAACGATTGATAGTATGTGAAATTATTTCATATTTTTCTTTTATCGGAACTCAGCCTACATGAAATTACAGATTTACATGCATTACGTCAACAATTTACAATTACTTTGGAATACAGACTGAAAACAATAGCAACTGCTGATAAACAGAAACAAATTCATCATCTAATGGATAGCTATAATCCTGCTTTTCACATTATAAAATTAAAGTCAGATATACTATCATATTCTGTTCATCCTATACATCTGTGTAATTACTTGTATTCATATGTTCATGTGTTCTGTGTGAGTTGTCAAAATTTTTTCCAAGTATAAAGGAAGTTCAATGGCTCTGCATGCATAAATGTTACATTGTTGTATGTCATCAGCTCCAGAATCATTTCCTCTCTATGCAACAAAATACCAGGTTCCACAATTCCTCTTTTCACCACACCACACCCCACCACAAGGCTTCCAGTTAGCTCCTACCTGGACCCTGGCTTCAGTGAGCTCTGTTCTCAGAGCAAGCTGTTCTCTGACATATACATCCGGGTAATGGGTTTTCTGAAAGACCTTTTCTAGCTCCTCCAGCTGCAAACTGGTAAAGGTGGTTCGGTGTCTCCGCTTTTTACTGCTGGATACGTTGCTGTCACATTTATCCCCAAGTTCATCCATTTCTCCCTTCTCGGGCATTCCTTTCCCAGGAGACATCCGGAGAGTGCTGCAGTTATCCATGGCTCTGTTCAGTTCCGTGTGAAGGGGCTGTCCCTCTACTTTGGTGATTACATAGTTCACTGCACCCAGAGGGAGAAAACAGCAATTCTGAGGATTATGAAACACACCTCGATGAAGGAATTAAATTGAAGCAATTTAGAGCACCCAGAAATAAGTGTTAATGATTTATTATGTCATTATTAACTTTATTATCACACGATGTGCAACTAGTAATTCACTGAGGAAGAGGTTTAAAAATAATTTTTTAATTTGCACATGGAGTTCCTAATTTGCCAAAATCTACAGACCTGTTTTACAGGACCAAAGTGATGTACAGGCAAGGCATATGTCGTACAATCAAATTAATGTAATCAAACTAAAAGATGCTCTAGACATAAAAACAAAAACCTGAGCAACCATAATTTTTGAAAAGTGAACCAGGCTTAATTTAACTTATATATTTATTCATAAAAGACAAAAATTCAGCTCTTTGTGTGGGTCAAAAAATTTCAATTTTAAGTAATACTTATCTGTAAAATCTGAAAGTCATCTTCTTCCTCCACACAAAACAGATGGACTAAAGCCTTAAAGGGGCATTATTTCTACCATAATTTAAGTATTTTAACTGAATACTCGTGTTTGACTATAAAATCCTTTCAAAACACGATCCACTAAATTGAAAAATAAAATTTTTCTCCACTTTTGAGATGTTTCATAAAAAAACAGCGAGATTTAAGTAAACATCTTCGTTTTAAACACTCATCTTTCAGTTCTCTAACACGTGAACTAAGTTTTAGAACAAAAAACCTGTATCGTTTCCTTTAGGAACACACAGAAATTATCACAAAGGGTGACATCTGTTCCTCTGTCAAAAGGTGTTTTAATTTCAGTAATTTCCTCCAGATTTGATTGCATGCTTGCAACACGATATAAAACAAAAATATACCATCTAATGCCACATACACAAATACCCCGAATACACACGGTAAAATGGGAGGCATTTTCTAGTTAGAAAAAAGGAAAGTGGATCATCTACACTTGCTTTTTAAACTTGTTTTCGTTTTTAAATTATTTCCATTCCAACGTTTTAACTGTAATGCAAATATATTCGACTTCAATACCTACCTACACAACTTAAATTCCTACTAGCGTTCACGCAAAGGAAGCCGCGACGTAAAATAAAATATACAGAAGGGCCATTTCTGATGAACAATACGGTTTTGTCTCAGCGGACTGAGTTAAACAAGGAACTTCGGCGATTAGGGATGGGGGAGGGGGCAGCGGAGGAGTTAAGGGCATTTCAGGAGAATCACCGGACCTTTCCCGAACCCGGAGAACGCCGCACGTGTTCATCCTAGTCCGTAGTCCCCTGCTAAATTCATCCTACGAGTGCGCACAAGTTTAAAAGTTATTAAAGTGTAATCATTACTCCTTTCCCTTCTCATCTGGATCCCTGACAATTAAAACCTAGGATGTGAGTCCACCCAGTAATTAACTCAGGACCTTACACAGCATGGAAGTCCTGTCAAATCAAACAACTTACTGCAAACATCTGAGAGTTCCAAAAACACAGATGAGTCCTGGCGACAGCCAGAAAGCTAAAAATTTACTGCATTAATAAATTTAACTGCTCGCGATTAAATAATTGAAACGATTTAATTGATCATTCTATCCTTATGCCTTCATAATCTTTTTACTCTTCCAAGTCAAAAGCAATTAGCGACAAGAATGCAGTAAGTGAAATAAGAAACTTATTTAAAACTGTGTAAAAACTACTTTGGTTAGGAGCTCCTGTAAGTTGGCGTCTTACTAGATTTCGCAACTTTCATTAAAATAGGGGCGGAGGCCTGTTGTAAATATTTCACACTTAATTCGTTTGTTGTTTTAGAGCACTCGCTCCTCGCGGTTTAACTGTGGAATATATACAATGATAAGAAAAAGTCCTTTTGGAATTGTAAACGTGCTTTAGCTGTCGCGATCTGAAATAATAGCTCCGTATTGGGTTACAAGATAGAAAAGATAGATGGTTTGTTTTGATAACATTTTGACTTTCAGATACTTGGGCGTTCAGGGTTGAAGATTTCACCCAGAAGCATTCCAAAAAGGGTTCCTTGAGTGACCTTTATTGTGGGGTCAAAAAAAATTAGATAATGCGGAATCTAAGAGAGGGTAATTATGTCGGTGATTTTTTTTTCTCCTTGCCCGAAGCTATTTAAATGGATGTTTAACAAAATGTTACTTACTGCGAACGCAAAAAAAAAAAAAAAAAAAAAAAAAAAAAAGGAAAAAAAAATTGGAAATCACAAAATCACTTTAGCTAATAACCTAGCAATACTCACAATTTTACAATGAAAAATAGCTCCACGCCTCGCACAACACTGCTGTTTGTTTTGTTTTGTTTTGTTTCACCTAACGGGGCGCAGGCTTCTTCCCTCCGGAGCTGCGATCGCGCTCCGCTCCTCCCGCCCCAGCGCCTGGGACCTCCACTCCCCGCGCCCATTTAGTGCCCCAAGCGCTGACCCCGGGGACGGGTAAGAGACCCCAGGCCCTCGGCAACGACCGTCCCCGATCGCGCAGTCAGAGCCCGGGTCCGGGTGCTCCCTTTCTCCCCTAAAGTCGGCGTGGGCGGAAACACCGCCCGCAGGGCGCCCCGGCCCCGCGCCCCGCGCCCCGCAGCTCCTTCCGCGCCGTGCGCACCCGACCTGCACCGCAGCCGCGCGCCGGGCCGCAGCAGCCCGGGCCGGGCGCGGCCACTCACCGCTGCTGTCCTGACAGGGCGAGGTCCTGTCCAGGCGCACGTGATGCTCCGCGCGGGGCAGGGGCCCGAAGGCCTGCACGCATTTGGCGGCCGACGCTTTGCTGTAAAAGGACTCATTGTCCAGCGTCTCCATAACGTGCTCCAGCGAGCCGCCCGCGCCCATGTAGAAGTCACTGTTTTTACCCGGCGGGCTCTTGAGGGCGAACTTCTCGCTGAGAAACTCCATAGTCCTGCGAGGCGGCCTCGCGGTGCAGGGGCGCAGCGGCCGGGCGCGCTGGGGGAGGGCGCGGGGGGCGCAGGAGGGAGGGCGCACGCCGGGAGCTGCCTGCTCCAGCCCTTTAATACGTCCCGGCTGCGAAGGGGGCACCCGAAGTTGCTTTTATATCTTGAAACTCAGCTGGGCTCCTCGGGCAACCTCCCAGTTCTAATGAATATGAAAATAGGCAGGCGACTAACTCCACCCCGGGGGCCCCCCTCCGCCCCCACCCCACCCCCACCCACCCTGCTTACCCCCGCGGGGCGCGTCCCGGCCTAGGTTAGACAGACAGACAGTTCCACTGCAGACAAATGCCAGCCGAGACGAGGCCCGACACCCCGAAACACTGTCGCCGCAACAGTGGACTGGCATTTCGGAGGAACTGGGTGAGATCGCGAAGCAGTTAACCCTCCGCTCCCCGCGGTCCGCGCCCTCCTAGGCGTCCGCCCCGCACCCCGTGCGCACCCCGCCCCCACGCCTGCCGCTCGCGACCGGAGAGATTTAGAGGCATCTTAACAACTTGAAAGGAAGCATTGCTCCAAAGGGCTTTTATTTCATCCGTAAATCGTTTACGTGGAAGATCCACGTTAATCCGAAGCCCAAGAAGCCGGATGCACTGGGGGCAGTTAACTGGGGCGGCTGCTCAGCCGCTTCCCCGGGGGAGCTGGGCGCTCCCGGCGTTTTCCCAGGCCGCGGCCTTGGCTGCTCTGGAATGCGGCGGCCAGGGACTTGGGGGCGATGGGTGAGAAAGGGAAGTTGAGCAAGGGGAGTTGAAACCCTCCGATTATACGGCTACCCACCGATTTCTCCACCTCCGACCACCGCTCCGCTGGGTCTCCGATTTTAGACCAAATTGTTTCAAGAAAACCCCCGTTTAAACAAGTGCCCCCCAAAAGCCCTCACCTCTAGGCCTGAAAGAGAATTGTTATACAAGCTGGTTTAGGAGAGGGAGGAAGGCATTCAGCGTGCCTCTCTGTAGCTCTTTGAATTATTATAGGTGCTTTTGCGGAGGCGCTACGGGATGAGTCTGCCTGCCAGCGCTGTGCGGATGCGCGGTGCTGAGCGCGCTGGCAGAGCCCGGGCCTCTGCTCCTGCGGGTGCGGATGGCGGGGCGTACACCAGCACCGTGGAGTGGAAAACCTTTCTGTGTGGCCTTGGACCCCACTCCAGCTTGCAAGGAGCCCGAGGCGTCTAGGGCAAAGGCGTTCAGTGCCTTGGGCACAGAAAAAAGCACCCATCTGCAGTGGGTCATTTCCACTAGAAATTTGATGAAAAACTACTAAGTTGTGTTATGTTCCAGAAAAGTCTCGTCTGTGGGTCCTAACATTCTGTTTCTCGCCACAGACCCCGCTGTCACAATTGTCTTGCCCAGTCTGACAATTACAACATGGTCCGGGGCACCCGGGCAACCCTAATTCTGGGGATGGCGAGGCCAACCCCATCACTAGCAGGCATTCGAATGCTTTGTGTTCCCCCTCTTTGGGGTCTTGGCTGACCCAAGCATCACAGGTATAACCAACCTGGGGAGAACAATCAGAGAGCGAAGCGCAACCCAGAGCTGCTTAGAAACCTACCCTAAAGGCGAGGCCGGCAATAAAACCCCATGTTCTGCCGGACAGAACCTGAGCACCCTGATTCACGGACAGTTCTCCAGAGGAGGGCACAGTCTCACTCAGCGGGACCTGGAGTGTGCACTCGGTTCTGGCGAGTTGACACTATTCCTGGGTTTAAGTACCTTCCCCTATATTAATAGTTACTATCGCTGGGCCAGCTCCGCTAGCACCAGCAGGGAATCCGCGTATCTCAAGGGGGCGCGGTCAAAGAAAAAGCGCTGATGGCCCTGCGCTCCAGGGGAAAGCTTCGCAGCTTCTTAAGACCTGGAACTTCTCCGCAGACACCCGCGGCTTGGCGAGGCCAGGCTTGGGGCCAAGGGAGTAAAACTGGGCAAGGATATTCATGTCAGTGTCCCCAAGCGACTCCAGGAGGAGGAGGAGCCACGCTACTCTTCCTGGACACTTTCTGGTGCCTTCCTGAGCAGCCCTTGTGGCAGTTTCAGTGCTGGGTGT